AGACGTGTGCTCTTCCGATCTCCCCAAAACCCCAAAACCCCACGCTACTATAGTTGACATTTCAAAATTGGATGCTTAAATAAATTATCTATAATTAGAGTGTATTTATTATAGTCCAATGATTGTTTTCTTTCATTTAATTGGCTAATATATAAATGCAAAAGCTTAGGCATCTTCAATGCCTTAGTGTCTCTGCTTTCATTGTTCAGATTTCTTCTTCTTAGCCATTGATTATAGGTTAGTAGCCTTCTTTTGAGCTCCCGCATCCGGTTCGTAAAACATATCCATTTTAGTCATGCCAAGAGTCTATTTCAAGTGTTCGAGAGTCTTTTTAGTCTCTGAGTTTTATTTATTCAAGAGATCATTGAGTATATTCTTGTTCCTCTGTATCAGTCTTTGAGAGTCCTGTTGCCTATGTTTCAACTACTCGTTTCTATCTCTTTAAATTCTTTTAAGCAATGCTGCCAAAGCTAGTTGCTGGGTGTGTCTAAGTTTAGATTCCTTCTTTTCTACTATTGCTTGCATCTCTGCTTCTAGTTTATTTCTTTCAAATTCCTCTAAGAGATCTGCCTTCATCTTCACCTTTTCAGCTTCCTCATATCTCTTCATTTTAACGAGTTTAGCTTCCTTGTCTCTTAACTCCAATAGATCTTTGGAGAACTTCATCTTTGCTCTCAACTCCTTTCTTATTTTTTCTTGGAACTGTTGGAATTCAAGCATGTGCTTTTCCTGTAATTTAATATTAATACAATCATTTGTAATACCTTAAGCTTCTCAAGTGAAAGATAAGCTGTAGCTTCATAATCGCTCATGTAATTATCCCAAGCTTATGAAAACTCTAGGAATTGAGCTTTCTAAGCTGCTTCGATGTTTTGGAGTTCATGTTCCTATGCTGCTCTGATGTTATTCTTTTATCGGACTGTCTCTTTCTTCAGTAATTCGTCAAATTTGGATCTTGCTTTTTTAGCTTCAGCATAATTTCCATCATCTTCACATTTTCTTCGATATTCTTCTAGGAGTCTGAGGAAATCAAGCACTTTAGAGTCTGGTGAGATTTAAATAACACCCTTTTAAGAACTGCTGCGTTAGTACTCTCTTCTTCTTTGATTATTTGGATCACTTTTGACTATCTTATTCTCTACTTACTGCATCATTTGAAGGAATTCTTCAAAAGTGATGGCATCATCGTGATTTGGGTCTACAGATCTAAGCATTTCCTTCGCCTCGTTGGGATCTCTTTACAAAGAAGTCATGATAGCCTCCAAATCTTTCATCTCGATCTTTCCACTATGATCTTTATCAAACAAGTCAAAGATGTCTCTTAAGTTCTAAATTTCATCTTCGGTAAAACTAGCTCCTCCTTAACCACCAATATCTAAAGTAAATTTAGTTACATATTCTTACTTTGGTCCTAGGCTGACTGATAGTTATTGCCCATGTCATCTTGCTATCCAATTGGGGGTGGGAAGTCATTCAATTAAGGTTGCTTTACGTTAATAGGCATTTGACCTCCCATATCGTTTGTATCATTTACCTATTCGTAATCTTGATTGTAATCATCATCCTAAACCCACAAATATTAGAAGCAAATTATGTTACAGATTGATTATTATTTGCTTATGAACCTTCCATTATTTTTTTATTTGAAACAGTTTATATTTTTATGAAATTAATCCTTTAAGCTAAAAATCTTGATAAGCGGGGTTTTGGGGTTTTGGGGTAATAAGCCAGTTGCTTAATTTGATCAAACAG